ATAGGTTACAGAATACATTTTGGGGCATGTATTCTGTATTCTGTAATGGAATACATTTTAAAAGTAACCTTCCCAACACTGACTAATTGTTATTTACTAGCTAATCTTAAATGACTGTTCAGCACAGAAATGAAGCCCAACAATCATGTTTACAGTCCCGTGGTCTCAGCCTCAGATACTCAGCTAATCACAGTGATGTCATGATAAAAATGAACAAAACATTTTTCTCCTTCATTTCTGTCACACAAAGCTGTATGTAACGTGTCTCGCAGTTAGTATCATGGTTGCTAGGCAACCTGAAAAGCGCGACGAAGGCCAGACCGTCCCATTTCACAAGCCTCTCACTTCCGCACTTCTCATACTTATAGTACGCACCGTACGTAGCACGCGTAGTGCGCGTACTTCAAGCATGCGGTCTCTTAATCGGGACACAGCCCCAGTCTCCCCAGTCTGTCATGTAGTTCTTGTCTGCGTGTTTCATGTTGTCAAGCTTTTGTTATCATATCTACATCACTCCATGTTTCCTGTTTTATTTTGAAAGTCTTGCGTTTCCATGTTCAGTGTGTTTAGGTGCATTTTTGTCAGCGGTGTCTCCCCAGGTGTCTCTCTGTGCCTCATTACCCTTCTGTGTCTTTACGTCTTCTGTCTTCCACTGTTCAGTGTCGGGTTGTCTGTTTGTCTCTTATCACAGCTCTCCAGCTTTCAGGTTGTTTTCATGCTTCTGCTCAGGTGCATGTTCATGCTCACCGGGGGTTCACATCATTGTTCCACATGCACCTTTTCAGATTCATGTTAATGTTCATGCTTTCTCGTCATAGTTGATCTTAGTTTATTCCCAGTTTAGGTTTTAGTTGAGCTTTTTTCCCCAGCTCGCTTTGCCTAGTTTTATATTCAGGTATTTTCAGCCAAATAAAGAGCTCGGCTTCGGTTATACTGAGTTTACGCTGCCGTGTCTGTTTTTGGGATCGCTCCGCAAACACACCAGCTACAAAGCAGTGACACACAGCTACGCTAATGTACACTGACTGACAGACAAACAGAATATGAACATTACACCAATATTACCTGTTGCCTCCAAAACTTTGTCAGACTGCAATGACTTCCTGTTTATGTCTTCCTGTGACTCACCTTCTGGTCTGGACCTGCTGGCAGACAAACTGAGCAGCAGGTCATTCCTGCTGATCCACTCTAAAACCTTCCTGGTCACCTTCACAGCTCCAGGAAGTCTGTAGGTCTGCACCATCAGGTCCACAGTGTCCCACCTGTTTGTCATCTCTAGTCTGCTTTTCTTGATGGTTGGGAGGCCTTGAACGATGTCGGCCTGCTGTAGGAACCACTTGAATTTTTTGAACTCCCCATCTCCCAAATCATCTAAGGTGTTTAAGAGATCCTCTGGTGTCATCACAGCTCCCTGAAGTATAGAATAGAATATTTTCTGCTGAAAAGTAGAGATCAAAGAGGTACAACACAAATGTTACAGCAAAGGGAAGCCAGGACGTCAGATGGAGGACAGTTATCATCATCCCCACCCTCCTAGATTGGGCACCAAGCCCCAAGAGCAACTGGTGCATTGAAGGCATTGAACGTGAGAGCAGCTGACCTGAGAGACTGCCAAGACTATGTGAAGTACCCTCTGGTATACTAAAAGATTACATCATCACAGACAATCCCTACTGTGACCATCACCAAAACCAACCAGCTGATCTACATCATAGCAGCAGTGGTCACTAAGATGCTTGGCTAAAAAATGTGCAATTATTTTGGTCCCAGTCTGTTTCAATGTTTCCTACACATACACCATGTATATAGTCCCACTCACATATGTATACATATACATTGTTTTTTATTTTATTCTATTTATTCTATTTATTCTATTTATTCTATTTATTTATTTATTTATTTATTTATTTATTTATTTATTTATTTATTTTCCGCCTTTGTTGTATATTGGTTTCTCTTCTTACTTTAGCCCCTTTGTGGTCCAGCTACCCAATTTCGCTGTGCAAGAAACTGCACAATGAGAATAAAAAGCTCTAAGTCTCTAAGTCTAAGTCTAAAAGATGAACAGCCACAAGGAGCAGTACCCTCCGTAGAGAAGGAGACTAGAAGTCAAGATGAAGGCAGCATGGAGGGACGTTAGCCAACTATCTGAGCTTCAGAAAGGTGTGATGAAGAAAGACGTGCCTAAGAAGCAGTGTTGGGGAGTAACAGAGTACATGTACTGACGTTACGTATTTAAAATACAGAATATGAGTAACTGTATTCCGTTACAGTTACCGTTTAAAATGTGGTATTCAGAATACAGTTACTTTGTTGAAATAAAGGGATTACACGGCGGTATTTTCCTGTTTCATATGTTCGGCTACGCCCTCTCTATTTTTGGTAATTCCACGCCGGTGGAAACCCAAACAAAACACACATTAAGAGGCTCTAATGCAGAGGTAGGCAACTCCAGGCCTCGAGGGCCGGTGTTCTGCAGGTTTTAGATCTCACCCTGGGTCAACACACCAGAATCAAATGATTAGTTCATTCCCAGGCCTCAGGAGAACTATAAGACAAGTTGAGGAGGTCATTTAGCCATTTGGATCAGCTGTGTTGGATCAAGGACACATCTAAAACCTGCAGGACACCGGCCCTCGAGGCCTGGAGTTGCCCACCCCTGCTCTAATGCCTGTGTCTCAATCTCACGGCCCATGTCACCTCTACTTGTAGCCCGCATAATGGCATGAAGAAATTTGTTTTTAATTATTATTCAAAAAATTATTTAATATGAAGGCAATAGGCAGTGTTACAGGCATTGCCCTAAAGAATGTAGTCTGATGGGCAGTGTAGCCCAGCTGTAAGTAAGCTGTTAAGACTCGACTGTACACTGTGTTCCTGTTTTCCTCTGAAACAATAAGTTCTGTTGCAGCAGCCTTTCAACGCCTCTCTCTGTCTCTGCTAGCAAAGTAACCCAGACAACAAAGTAAAGCTAGTTTTCAGCTACGAGCCGACACGAACCCGACGTATCAGCCAGAGGTCCCTTACTACGGTTCGGAGCTGCGGACCTGTTTTATATACGCGCTGAATAGTTTTCTACACGAGAAAAAGTGCAGCCTTACCTAATGTCCACCTACTGTTACTCATTTATATTAAGATTTTAACATCTAGTTGGTGTTGGTGTGGCGAGTAGCCTTCAGTAATAAATCACAGGAATAGGACATTCATGTAGCTGTAAAAAGCATGATAATATAATAAGTAATCCAATTTTTCAGAATATGTTACTCTCATTGAGTAACGTAACAAAATACGTTACAAAACGCTACATTTTGGGGCATGTAATCTGTAATCTGTAGTGGAATACATTTTAAAAGTAACCTTCCCAACACTGCTAAGAAGTATGTGGCAGGGAGGTGGTCTCTGGCCTGCTGCAGTGGATGGGTGGTGCAGTGAGCTCTCGGGCACATAGGGGACAGGTGTGTGTGCTGAGACTAATGACTCTCTCACTATATATAGTGACGGCAGAGACTGATGGAAAAGTGTGTGCAGCGGAGGAAGCTGCGAGAGGAGCTGACTCCTGGCTCGAGTTGTGCCTTAACCTGAATGAACTGGAGAACAAAAATAAAGAAACCCAAAACACGTCAGTACACTGTGTGGGTCCGATCATTGCTACAAAGTACAACAAGCTGCCCATACCTCAAGCCTTAGAAACTGCCAAGCAAAGACTCACAGTCTTGCCCAACAGCTTGAAGAGGTATGCAAGAGAGACAGAAGCTAGGAGGAAAAAACAACTGAACCATCCAAGGTGTACGCTCAGTGGTAAGGCAGCAATATGAGAAGAGTACCACCAAGGCTGTAGCCATACTGGAAGAGCATACAGAAGAAGCATGCAACACATGACAACAATGTTCAGTGGCTAGGGAATCTAAGACCACAGCAGCCTCCCAGGATCCAGTCACCAGCTCTTCTTTCTAGGATGTCTCGCACTGTGATGGACAGCACCTTTTAAAATCCTTGGTCTGTCACTGAGTTTCAGTTCCTGCTTTAATTTTTCTTGTGTTTAGTTCCCTCAGCATTCACCTGTCTCACCTTTCAGAGTTCTGTCTCTGAATTCAGGTTTAAGTTCATTTGAATGGAAAACTGCATGTGCTGCTGTATCCTGAGAGCTGGTTTCCACCTGTGTTTTACTTCATTCCTCACCTGTATCCACTCCTCTGAGCAGTTATCTGTGTATAAATGCTCTGGTCCATAAATCAACTCACATTCTGCATACATACGTTCAGCATAATCTAACAGTTTAGTGAAAACCTGATATGATGACAGCGCTAACTCACAGAAAGAGCTGAGACAGCAGAGCACAAAAAGGTCTACAGCAGATGTTCGACTCTCTTCTGTCTGCTGGTTAGGAAGAACAGCAAAGGTGAAAACTTTGAGGTGAAATGTGAACCAGCTAAGATGATAGCAGACAAACACACCTTTGTAAGCAGCAGCAGCTCCCTCCCCAAAGCCTTCGCTGATCCTGCTGCAGACAGAGAGATTTCAATCTGTCCACTCTTCAGGAAAGAGCTGAAAAAAGAGGAAATATCATCACATCTTTTTCACAACCAAACAGGAAGTGCATCATTTCCTTGTGTGAACACAGCTGATTCATGAAATGTAGCACATGCTGTCTGAGCAGCTTCACACAAAAAATAGGTGAACTGACCCTTTAAACCTCAGCCACACAAGCTGAGGGTTAACCAGCTGTAGTTAAAAGATGGACGCAGCCTGTCCCTGCTGTCACTTGATGCGAGGTACCTTGGAGAGGCTGCGGACCACACAGAGTGGACAGTGAGGCTCCTGGATAACACAGACCCTGTGTTATTCTCTGACATGCAGCCTTCTGCGTTAGCATAAGTGTATCTGTGACTGAGCCGCGTCGTGAACAGGTGAAGGTGGGGGCGAACATAGAAGATACTGAGATGAAGTGAAAAACCTGTGGTTTGGCTCAAAAAGTTTCCAGCAGCTTCACAAGAAACAGGAAATTATAAAAACATTAACATCCTTTCACAGTGCCGCACAAAATGCTGTTTTACTGCTCGGTC